CTTCTTCGGGACGCAGAAGCGATCTGGCGACAGGTAAGTCGCCAGGATCGCTTCTGTTGTAAAGCCGACAGTCGGCTCTACAAGTTTAAACAGAGTCCCGGCGACAAAAGTCGCCGGGAGTCTGTTTAAACAGCCCCGATGCCCGCGACATACACTGTACGTCGTCAGTCACGAAGGGGTTAAAGATGTATTTTGGCCAGACTAGCTTGTTAGTAGGATCCCTTCATTAGTTGCCCTGCAATGAGTTGATTGTGAGAATTGAATACAAAGATGCATAGAGCATCCTCTGAAAATGTTTAAAAAGTTGTTACAAGACAAACTTTGCTGCCATTATTAAGTACAATTATGTACATAAGCTTTAAAAGCTGATTTTAAACAGTGGATTTTTTTTTATTTTTTTTTTTACATTTTACTTGTGTATTATGTATTCAATGTTTAAAAAATGCATAGAAATTACATACTAGCTTAAACTTGCACACTAATTTAAAAATAATAATTATCAATCTGTGCCTTCATTCTAGGACCCTCACTCTGATCATTTTGAAGAAAAGGAATGGACATTCCAAGTTGAAGGGGTAAATATAACTTAGAAGTCACCCTGTTACACATTCAGCCCACATATGCTAAACACGGCTTCACAGTATACCACTAAATCTCACCCCCTTACAGCTAAGAAATATGGTAAAACAAGTTGTCAGGGAACTACAATCTCTCTCAGAGCGAAACAGCAATATCACAGGCCGCACAAACAGGTTGCACAGCTGGTGAAATACATTTTGAAAAACTTTATTTAGCGTAGTAACAAGATCTGGAGTACATGCTGTAGTCCTCATCTAGGCACTTCCACTCTTACACATTTCATCCATATGGGCTTAGTCATACAGACCACCTCTTGGTCTCGACAATCAAACCCATTGGGGTAGTGCCAAGGTGGGGACTGCAGCGTGTAATCCAGATTATTGCAATATTTTCAGATGAGAGTTGTGGTGGCTGCTGATTGTAATACCCTGATTTGTCTTGTTTTGCCATATTTTCTAGCTGAAGGGGTGTAACATTTAGGTTTTAATGTTGTGAAGCTTTTTTAGTAGTTGAATATATAAGCTGAATGTGCTCTTGTAGCATTGTGTTATTCATTCAGTTATGTTGGAGAACTGGTTGTGCTCTCACACACACCAGTGACGATTACATCTGCTAGTAACTCGCTTTGATCTGTTTGTTTGTTTTTTAATTATTAAGGTTGTTTAAAATGGTATTAAACTTTCAAACAAATATACAATGCCCAGCAAAATATTTCTTTACTTTTTTCCCCAAGCACTTAGTCATCGTGTTTCCAAACATCTGGCTCCAATTCTTTCACATTACATTACAGTACAGTACCATTACATTAAGCAGTGCCTTCGGGGGACAGCGGTTGGTGAAGTATGGTACTGGAGTGCTCCCTGTCACTGCACCAGCCGGAGGGAGTCCCCTGCATCCCCTGATACAGTATGTCCCTGCAGGCTGATACCATCTCTCCTGCTCTTCAAGTTCCCCCTCACATGCTACCACCAAACTAGGTCTTATTTTCGGGGTAGGTCTTATATTACAGGAATCTTGAGAAATAGTGCTAGGTCTTACTTTCGGGGAAACAGGGTATTAATACACATGCACTTTAGGGGCGGGGGATTTAAAAAAAAATTATTGTTACATTTATTTTATTTTATTTCATTTTCTTTTTTACTTAATTGCTATCCAATAGGGGAGCTTACAAGCCCTCTATGTGATAGCATACTAGTGGTGACAGGTACTCTTTAGGGTGACATTAGGGGATGCCATACGTTGGTGGCAGCTAATGGGTTAAGTAAGACTTACAGGTTTGGCCCTTCTACAGCTTATGAAAGGAGAGTGGGAAGCGGAAGAGTGATAAGCTCATCTTTGTCACTCTGTTCATTCCTCCTATTGGCATGCTCCTTGAACTGGAGTATAACTGACTTGCCCCTTGAGCTGATTCTCCCTCTCTGAATCAGAGCTCTGCTGCAAAGGGACTGCAAGACACTGATACCAAGTCAAATTCAGGTACTTACACTACTTGTATTTAAAAAAAGTACTAATAACAATTTATTCATGAATATAGAGCTGCATACATCTGTTCAGCTTTATTACTGAATTTGAATCCTAAAACCTCACCTCTTGCTCAATATGAAAATACTCTTTAAGCACTAACACAGACCTTAACTCTAACACCCCTGGAGATGCAGACATCATTATTAGGGATGCACCGATACCAATACCAGCATTGGTATCAGTGCCGATACAGAGTATTTGGGCGAGTACACGTACTTGCCCAAATGCTCCCGATGCCTATCCCGATACCGGAACTTCCAGTATCAGGAAGGCGGGCGGCAAGTCATTGCACACCGCCCAGCTTCCTGATTGACCAGGGAGCATGGAGCCGGCTTCCCGGCCAATCAAGAAGACAGGAGGCGTGAAATGACTCGCCGCCCAGCTTCCTGGTGACGAGGTAGCATGGAGTCGGTTTCCCGGCCAGTCAGGAAGCCGGGCACCATGTAGTGACTCGCTGCCTGGCTTCCTGATTGGTCTGGAAGCTGGCCAATCAGGAAGCTAGGCAGTGAGTCATTACCCGCAACCCGGCTTCCTGATTGGCCAGAAAGCCGGCTCCATGCTGGAGCACAGAGGCGGCTTACCGGCTAATTGGGATTGGTTCCTTAATGGGACTATCGGTATTGTCGAGTACCGGAAAAAAAATAACGGTACTCTTATTCGGTGCATCCCTAATAATTATTAAGATCTCAGTGCTGGCAAATACCGATCCATTAAATTAATTCCACAGTATTTTACTAAAGCAGTATCCTAGTTTGAGCCAAAATAATCCCATACTTCAGGGCTCAAAATTTCCACTCGCCTGCTCGCATTTGGCGAGTGGAAATGCAGTGCAGGCGAGTGGAAATTCCTGTCAGGCTTGCGGTCTCAGACCGCATACCTGACTCGTGGGAGCAGCTGCTCCTGCTGGTCTGTCTCCCTTCCATTCGGCCGGAGCTCTTCACTGAGCTCTGGGTCGAAAACGAAGTGATTAGTAAGGTCTGCAGACCTTACTAATCACACTAGATCACCAGGGATCTGCCTGCTTGCCTCACTGCCGAAAGACAAGCAGGTGAGGGGGCTTCATTGTTTCATTTTACAATGTGGGGGCAGGAAACAAGGGGAGGGGATTATGTTATGTGTGGGGGGGCATGGAACAAGGGAAGGGGATTATTATTTTATGTGGGGGGGGGCAGGG